ACTTCTTCTCAATAACCAAAAGGCCCAGGGTACTGATATTGGGCCTGTAGCATGCTGGGATGAAGGACTATCAAGTTTGTTCAACTGAATGACCTTGACCAACTTTCAAGGTCACAGGGGTCAAATGTCGTAAAATCTTCAAGCGACTTCTTTTCAATAAGCAAAAGGGCCAGGGTACTGAAATTGGGCCTGTAGCATGCTGGGATGAAGGATTACCATGTTAGTTCAAATGAATGACCTTGATCCACTTTCAACCTAATGTCCTTGTTCGACAATCAAGGTCAGAGGCGTCATATGTTTAAATCTTTTAATAGGTTCTTATGAAATCTTAAGATTACAAATGTTAGATTAATAACAGGTGAGCGATGCAGGCCCATTGGGCCTCTTGTTATCTACACATACAATGTGAATACTTTTAAAATGAATCATTTTATCTGATTTTATCTTCGCTATTCACATGTTTGTTAACAAAGTGAAATAAATAAATAAATCACCATGGCCCTAAATGACCACAGCCGTCGATGGGCCGTTAAACATAAACAAACAAACAAACAAACAAACAAACAAGCACGTCTATCGTTAGCTCGCAGGTAAAAAGACATATATTTTACAACTTTGAAATCAGACTATCAACGTAGGGGAATACATATATGGACAAACAATATTTCTTAAAATGCAATCATTTTTTTAACTAGAATTTAATAAATTTTACAAGAACAAATATTTATGGTCCAGACTTAAAAAGACCACTATCCATCTATTAGATTAATAACAGGTGAGCGATGCAGGCCCATTAGGCCTCTTGTTCACTTACAAGTTCTTGATCATTGACTTTTCTAAGGCTGACTTGCAACATTGGTAAAGTGTTATCTTCGCAATTAAGGGTCCTTTGTTTGACACCTGCATTTATGTTTTATGTTATATTTTCACTTATTCAAATTTCGAACTACTGTTACCATAAAATATTAAAACATGTGACTTTTTTGGGAATACAGTATTCCATTTAAAACGGATTTAAACAAGCTTTTCAGAATAGTGACAAACGTTATATAGCAGTTTAACAGAATAGTGACAATGGTTATATTACAGTTCAACAGAATAGTGACAATGGTTATATAAGAGTTTAACAGAATAGTGACAATGGTTATATAACAGTTTAACAGAATAGTGACAATGGTTATATAACAGTTAACAGAATAGTGACAATGGTTATATAACAGTTTAATAGAATAATGACAATGGTTATATAACAGTGTAATAGAATAGTGACCATGGTTATATAACAGTTTAATAGGATAGTGACAATGGTTATATAACAGTTTAACAGAATAGTGACAATGGTTATATACCAGTTTAACTGAATAATGACAATGGTTATATAACAGTTCAATAGAATAGTGACCATGATTATATAACAGTTTAACAGAATAGTGACAATGGTTATATAACAGTTTAACAGAATAGTGACAATGGTTATATAACAGTTTAACAGAATAGTGACAATGGTTATATAACAGTTTAATAGAATAATGACCATGGTTATATAACAGTTTAATAGAATAGTGACAATGGTTATATAACAGTTTAATAGAATAGTGACAATGGTTATATAACAGTTTAACAGAATAGTGACCATGGTTATATAACAGTTTAACAGAATAGTGACAATGGTTATATAACAGTTTAACTGAATAGTGACAATGGTTATATAACAGTTTAATAGAATAGTGACCATGGTTATATAACAGTTAAACTTGTTGGAACCCTTTAGCTTTAACCATACGAAGCTTGATTACAGTTAGCCCAGAACGTTACTAGTATGATATTGACATTTACAATAATATGTTGTATATTGATACACGCACATGACATTGCAATTGTGATATTGACATGTACAATTATAACAAAAGAAACCCACCATCTGTATTGAAGAAGTCCAATTTTAAATCAGAATTGTATGTAACTCTAAATACAGCTACACCAACAGAGTTATTTCCCTTCTGACTCATACGATTTATACCCCTTCTAGTCATGCTGGGTTGTAGGCTATTCGATGTTCCCGTGTATAACCTCTGCTGTGACACGGATTCAAATTCAATTTAGCTGTAAAATCGAGATGAATGATTTTGCAAATAAATTTGATGTTCTGTCAGAAATACATTAAAAAATATTCATGTTTTCTATATTGTTTGATATTTGTAAGTATAATAACGTTTTAATAAGTGATGGTCTGTATCAATTTGAAAGACTGCTAACCTATCGCCTAGCCATTAGTTGTGTACTTGGCTATATCAACCAGAAATATTACATCAAATGACACTACACCCTATGTTTGTATGTAACAGATACTGGGACATCAAGACGGGTAATATATTGGACTTTTTTTTTCTTTTCTTTTTCATTTTCTTTTTTGATAGAGGAGAGACGACTATGAAATCAGAAATATACTTCAGATGAAGATTCAACAAACCAAATATTTCCTCTACACAGATTGTTGTGTACAATATAACATAACAGTAGCAACCAGTATCAGTTATCCACTTTTATGACAGTACATCTGACTTTGTTTAATAGGCAAAACAATGTAACATCCTCAGGTTACCGAGGTCCATTATATTTTTAAATGGCTGGAATGCTTGTAAGCTACGTTGATTTGCCTATGGACCCGAGTCAGTTGTGGTGAATCACACGCATGGCAGCATACATAATGTAGTTTACTGTGACTTTGCTCTATGACTGTCCGCCATAGAATAACAGTATGAACTCTTTATGATTTACACATTTTCTTGTTTCTTTTCAGTATGTCGGATATTATATTGACGTGGGGGCCGGAGATGGGGAGAGTAATTCTGTGACCTTGTTTTTCGAAAAGGAGAGAAGTTATAATGGCCTTTTGATAGAGCCATATCCGGGCCGCTACATGACCCTGCTGACGAAAAACAGGAGGGCCAACACACTTCAGGCCTGTGTTAGGGTAAGATTCAGCGTTTGGATCACGTCGAACATTACAATATATCAGGGAACTTGCGCACTCATACTCTCAAAAACGGTATTTCATAGAAAACCAGGTCCAACTTACATTTCGTATGGAAAGTTATACTATTGCCCTAGCTTCGACCAATATGTTTTTAACCGTTTTATTTGTAGATTTTACGACAGCAGTTTTGGTTTCAATGACCATCATGGTATGATGAATTTCCATTATTTCTGATTAAGTTAAATATGGAGAATTTGTAGTATGACTCAAGTGATAGTTTCACTATCAAAAAGTACAAAAACTGCGATATGTCAATGTGATAGGTATATCTTCACTGGGGATAGATAACTTATAGGGGATTTTAACGTCCAATTAAGTGCCTGGTTACTAATAATCACCGTCAATTTCAGAAAATGTGCCAAACAATTACAGCTTCAAGTACATATACATATTTGAATCATTTATCATTTTTTTATGTGTAAAAAATGAAAGCAGCGTGTTTCAGGAACCATTGGATTTTGAAGTTAGGCCGTCTCATTCCTAATGTCTAGCATCAACAAGCCTAATTGTGGCGTAATTTATATTAGTATTAATGAAAATTCGACTGTATTGATATGTATATTTATTACATTTTTGCCAGTGAAATATCGGATTCTATCAACTTGATAAAACTGATATCTTTCACACTGTGACAAATATCAAAAGAGACTTTTTGGTATTGACCAATCATAACGGTATCTTCTTTTCGCTGCATTCAAAAGCAACGATTTTTTGCTCAGATTCAAATAAAGCGACAGTAGAATAAGAGGTTTTTATGGTAAATGTTTGGTACATAAGTATATAATTAATAACATTTTTATAAGCAATCATACAAGAAAATAGCAAAAAACGTCGGAATTGCATCGAGTATCAGATTCAAAATGGCGCGCAGCTTGTTGTCAAGCGTGACGTGATAATAATATGGAGTTAAGTATTACGTTTCTGATTCTCGCCCTTTTTTAATGCATTACTTTTTACATGTTTTACGCTTTAAAAATGTAATATATAGAAAATGTGTTTGTGTCTTCAGTAATAACAAATATATTTCACGAGTGTGACTAATATTTTGATATTTTTCACGAGTGCTCCTCTATTTATCTTAATTTGATTTTATCTTCAATATTTATCCGCATGCAATTTAACCCCAGTGTTGGGAGATTTTCTTTGTGAGACTATAACTGTCCAAGTTTGTGTAGATAATACTAGCACTGACACTAATTTGCAGATTCCTGTTGACTTTTCCCGGGGACCATGCTTTTGCTAGGGAATTTTCACAAACATGTGGACAAAAAACGTTTTCCTCGATTTCAAATACGCGATAATAAACGACCCCTTAATCTAGTTCGTAATGCATATTCATGAAAGTCACATTTGAATATTTAAACCAAACATTGCTTTGATTTTGATAATTCAATAATTAGTGTAATTCTATACCGGTTTTATTCTTAAATATCCAGTACTGAAACTAAATCTAGGGGTCCAAATAAAAACAAAGGTATTTGACAGTCACGTTTCCCGAAATAGGCCACTCCAGCACACAGCTGACATATCACAATTATCTACCGGCTTCTTACCGAATCTCATCAATGTAACTTTGAATCTGCCAACGACACCAGGTTAATAGAATGTAGAGCTTTAACCAAGAAGCCATTAATTAAATAGTTTTTCAGGTCAACATATTCGGAAACAAAAGCCGATAATGATTCCTGTCGTCTGAGGTTGTTACATAAGTTCATTGTTGCAGACAAACAAAACTGGCAGCCTGAAGGAGTACCTCGCCGTTAAACAAACAACGTCATCCATTGTTCCCTGTCTGTGGATGGAGACCATAGTGGCTGCCACTGGGAAGAACACCATAGACGTGCTCAGCATCAACGTACGAGAACAGGAACTGGAGATACTCGGCGCCATTCCTTTTGACAAACTCAACATCAGTGTGGTTTCTATTGAGTTTTCACATAACAGCAGTGCTTATTTAGATGTCATTAGATTCATGTCAAACATTAACTATGTGGCTATTCATCAATTTGTTTATCACCCATTACACAAAGTCGACGTTGTTTTTGCGAAAAAATCAAAAGTGAAAAAATAATAAATGATGAAAAAAAAAAATGATATTATATAGCCTATGAAACAAGTATCAATGAGATTGCTGTAACTCCATATTGTTTGGCATATCTTTTATCGAATGTTATGTGCATTTTACTATGTTTTGTATGTAGCTGTTCAGTTGCTTCATGACCATTTCCTTAAATTTTATCATTTATTTTCGTTAATCAAAATGTCTTTTTCTTAGTGTTACAATCGGAACAATTTTTTTTAAGCTGATCTGTCTCGGTTTCATATTATCTCAAAATCCCATGTTTCTAGGAGCAGTTGTCACTGTTCGCGTATTGTTGTAAGAGTATTTTATAAAGAGATTCTACCTTCGGTTTATACTTTTTGTGTGTTATATGTTTTATATCTCCATTTATATAACACATCATGCACTTTTGCAGTTAAACTGAAATATGAACATCTATATTTCTGTATTCTTTCCTATTGCAGTATTTTTAAATGTCACATGAAATGGAAATATATTGAAATGTGACCGTGAAAATACTGTTAGCTCTGACTATCGTTAGGGCTGCATTGTCGCCATTTTACTTCATGTCCATCGTCTTTAATGCGACATCACAGCGGAATAACGATGGGTATTTTGTCATATCTGAAGTCATCGTTGATGATTATTTGACTTTTTATATACGGTATGCTATGAAAGTAATAAGAATAACTTATTATCTACGGTATGCTATGGTAGTGATAAGAATAACTTATTATCTACGGTATGCTGTTACAGTGATAAGAATGACATATTATCTACAGTATGCTATGGTAGTGATAAAAATGACATTATCTACGGTATGTTATGGTAATAATAAGAATAACTTATTATCTACGGTATGCTATGGTAGTGATAAGAATAACTTATTATCTACAGTATGCTATGATAGTGATAAGAATGACATACTATCTATGGTATGCTATGGTAGTGATAAGAATGACATATTATCTACGGTATGTTATGGTAGTGATAAGAATGACATACTATCTACGGTATGCTATGGTAGTGATAAGAATGACCAGGGACAGTATATAGAGGGGATTGGCAACTCTGCCCCAGTCAAGATTCTATAGCACGTCGCTTTTGTGTTTGTTCACCGAACTGCGAAGTCATCGAGAGCCCCTCTCGATCAGCCTGCGCTTGCGCACTAGCGTTAAAATTAAGCACGCACCTGCTTTCGGTGTCATGTCACAATCTCGCCGAGATCGAAGTGTTTTGATAACGGTTAGCCCTAATTGGGACTGTGTATTAGTAGGTCTTCTTTTTATTCCAGGGACAGGGCTATCGTTGCCACTATGTCTAGCCTTTCGGCTGTGTTGGTGGCTATTACAACAAATCACATTTCGTAAAGCACGTTCCAGTGAAAATAATGCTAATATTGACACTTTTTGACACAAAAACAGCACAAGTTATTTGTTATTTTTTGCCATAAAAATTAGTACTACATATCAAAAAATTATTCAACTTTCTATCGCTGTAAATTTCAAAA